AAACCAATCAAAGTACAAACAGGAATTGAACGATATACTGAAATAGTTAAGCGAAAACTTAGCCCACAAAAAAACGCAAACAATCGTGACAAAATTCAAAAAGTTAACAACAATAATTATAACAACAGATTCAAAGCACTGAATGATGAAAGCGAAAACATAGAAGAGATCAAAGATAAAATTGTTAAACCACCGCCTATCTATGTAAGAGAAAAAAACTCTAGTGATTTAGTTAATTCACTTTCAAATTTAATAGGTAAAAAAAACTTCTTTGTTGTACCTATTAAAAAGGGCATGATTAATGAAACCAAGGTACAAGTTTCAAGTGAAGATCAGTTTCGTAAAGTAATTGCTGAATTAGAAAAATCGAAACAATTTTATACGTATCAATTAAAAAGTAGTAAAGGACTAATAGTGGTCATAAAAGGCATAGAGGCAGGAGTTAATATTAAAGAAATTCACGATGCACTTAAAGAAAAAAACTTCGCAGCAAAAAGTATATTTAATATCTTAAATAGAGACCGTAAACCGCAACCAATGTACAAAGTTGAGCTGTATCCAGACACAAACAAGTTGAAAAGTGGCGAAGTCCATCCTATTTATTTGCTTCGCTTTCTTTTAAACAGAAAAATTACTATAGAGGAACCACACAAGCGTAATTTTCCAGTACAGTGCTTCAACTGCCAGGAATATGGACACACCAACTTGCTAAAGTTTGTGTTATTTGTGCCAAAATCCATAGCTCAGATAAATGTCCTGAAAGCAAAGAAAACCCAGCAGTTAGAAAATGCTCAAACTGCGGTGATAGCCACACAGCAAACTACAGAGGATGTCCAGTTTTCACTGCTCTAAGACTAAAATTAAACGTTGCCCAAAGACAGCGCACCCCACAGCTTAATCTGCCAAACTTCACAACATCTCATTTCCCGCCCCTTCCACAGAACACTGGTCCTACATTGCAACCACCAGCTCCACCAATGCAGCAAATGACGTACGCAAATCCCACTAAACAAATTCCACTTCTTACCAATAGCTCCACTGTTGTTCCAGGCTTTGAAGCAATGCTCGCAAGTTTTACCCAAAAAATTTAACACTTCATGGACTTCATGCAAAATATGATGAATAGCTTGATGCAAAGCATGATACAAAACCAAAGTTTGATTGCTGAGTTGGTAAAACCCAAATGAATGCAATCACAATATGCCATTGGAATGCAAACGGCTTAACCCAACATGTACTGGAAGTAACTAGATTTCTGGTGAGTAACAATATCGATATACTGCTTATATCTGAAACACATTTAACCTTCAAAAACTGTTTTCGAGTTTCTGGACATAAGTTTTATGACACTAAACATCCAGATGGTAAAGCATGTGGCGGTTCTGGAGTACTTGTTAGAAACACAATACAACATTATGAAATTCAAAAGCATTGTTTGAAATACCTACAAGCTACATCAATTTGTGTAATTTCTGGTCTATCTAAAACTGTCGTCTCAGCAATCTATTGCCCGCCCAAATTTGCTATTACTTCTGATCAATTCCGGAAATTTTTTACTGATCTCGGTCCTAACATTCTAGTTGCTAGGGATTTCAATGCTAAACACACCTTTTGGGGTTCTAGACTAATATCTCCAAGAGGTCGTCAACTGTATGCAGCACTTGGCAACAGCCTTGATGTTGTGTCCTCAGGCCACCCAACATACTGGCCATCAGACAATCGAAAAATACCAGACTTAATCGATTTCGCAGTCATTAATGGTATGAAACGTGAAGATATTGCTGTTAAATCATCTTATGACTTGTCCTCTGACCATTCTCCGGTTATTTTAACTCTGACAAAATTTAATACTAATTCAAATGAGCAGAATAAGAAAACTCTAATAAACTGGAGGAATTATATAAATATTATTAATGAGAAAATAAGTTACAATTCAAATTGTAGTTCACCTAAAGAAATTGATAAAGCAGTTGATCACTTTACCAAGACATTAAATAATGCTGTAATTAAAGCCTCTCAACCAAAAAGATCAGTCCAGTCAAATATAGTATTTCAATCACACATTGATTATCTTATTTCTCGAAAACGACAAGCCAGGCGTGAATGGCAAAGACTTCGATCACCCACCTCAAAACAAAGATTAAATAAAGCTTCAAAAGATATTAAAAAAGCACTATCTGATGACAAAAACCGCTCTTTACAAGAATATCTCGAGTCTCTTGGTCCACTTAAAGAAAACAACTATTCTCTGTGGAAGGCAACGAAGAAATTTAAAACGCCAATACAAAATGACCCACCGCTTAGAAAACCGGATGGTTCTTGGGCTCGCAATGACGAAGAAAAAGGTTGTATTTTAGCAGAACACCTAAAGGGTGTCTTTCAGCCAAACCCACAATTATCAGATTTCCAACCTAACATCGAATCTCCTTCTATTGTTGAAACTCCCCTTACGTTGTGTTTGGATAACGTCAAGGAGACTATTCGAACATTTGCAAAAAAAGGCACCTGGATACGACAAAATTACGGGTAAAATGATACAACAATTGCCTGATTCAGCAATAACTTTTCTAACGGTGATATTTAACAGCATCCTCGCTTTTGGCTACTACCCGAAGCAATGGAAAGTTTCAGAAATAAAAATGATTCCAAAAGCAGGAAAGGACCTAACTTTGGCATCATCATCTTTTGCACCAGTTATCAAAAATCTTTGAGAAAATGCTCCTGTCATATATTATGCCAATAATAACTCAAAACAATGTGATCCCAAACCATCAATTTGGATTTCGAACAGGACATGGCACTATTGAGCAAGTTCACAGAATTATGCATAAGCTATTGTATTCATATATATCTTCTAGAAAATTTAGATTGAAATACAATACCTTTATTTCAAGAGAAATCGACATAATGGCTGGTGTTCCTCAAGGAAGCGTATTGGGGCCGTTTCTGTACATAATCTATACAGCTGATCTCCCACTACTCTCAAATCACACGCTTGCTACTTTCGCGGACGACACTGCAATTCTTAGTTCTAACAGTGACCACATAAGGGCGTCCCAAAGTCTCTCGACTCACTTAAGTCTATTGGAGAAGTGGCTAGCAAAATGGCGCATAAAAGTAAACGAAACGAAAAGTGTGCATGTCACGTTTACTCTGCGAAAAGAAACGTGCCCCCTTGTTAAGTTGAATAACATCATTATACCTCAGTCACATGATGTAAAATATCTTGGCATTCATCTTGATAGAAGGCTGACTTGGACTAAGCACATTGAAAGCAAAAAATCTCAAATTAAATTAAAATCACAGCAGCTCCATTGGCTTATTAATAAAAACTCTAAGCTAACTCTGGAAAATAAAGTCCTGGTATACAATTCAATCTTAAAACCTATCTGGTCCTATGGTATAGAACTCTGGAGTGCAGCATGTGCTTCTAATATTGAAAAAATACAGAGAGTTCAAAACAAATTACTTAGACAAATAACCGGTGCTCCTTGGTATCTCAAAAATGTACATATCCACAACGATCTTGGAATCCCAACTATTGCAGACGTCATTACAACATGCGGCCAAAAATATAAAGTGAAACTTCACCAGCATAGTAATACAATGGCGCAACAGCTGCTTTCTGATACCACAATATCTAGACTTAAGCGAAAAAGCTTCGTACCACCTTAACGTAATTTTACTAAAAATGTTGATATAAATTTTGATAATAATAATCCATTTCATTTTATTATAAAGTTTAAACTCCTTTTTTGCACCTGCTAATTGCATTATGTTTAGTTTTTAAGATTTGATTACATAATTGTCAATTTCTTATCAGAAAGATACAATAAAAAAAAAAAAAAAAAAAAAAAAAAAAAAAAAAAAACTTTGTGTTATTCTGCAACATATTTTTAAGATTTAGTAATGACCGTATTTAAACATTTTATTTGTTATTTATAATAGTACAAAATTATTTAATTGAAAAATAAATTTATGAAATTATGGATCATAAATAAATAAATACGTTGTTTTGTGTTTTCATAACAAATTTTAAATTGAAACACCTGAACAACACCTACGTTATAAACATAAAACATGGGATTGAGAATATTAAAATGGAACTCTTCTTAAAGAAGATTACTATTTCACAACACAATAACGTTTACAAGAAATTTATATACAAAAAAGTACACAAATTTTAGAAAGTGCTATTTAAAAACATTCAATGATGTAATGTACCACTAAATTTCCAAACAAACGTTTTTGCATACAATTAGCAACAAAATAGTTTTATTTAAAAGCTAGACGGATTCGAATAGCAAACAAAAGATAAGCACGAAATTAATTTAATTTATTATCAGTGGTCTTAGAAAATAATCGAATTTTTTTTTTTAATTAAATTATAGTCCGTATATAATTTGTTTGGACTGTAAGTGCCAGGCTTAGAATAGCAAAGGCTGCACAAATTTTCAGTACTGTAGTTCCAGGTTTTTTTGTCACTTTTGTATTTAATTAGTTTTTATTTAATTTTTTATTTAATTAACCAAGCACTTGGCTCGACACAGCGTTGTGTGGTCAGCCAAATTTCAATAAAATTAAATAAATTTTTGTTTATTCTTTCTTTCTTTGCTATTCGAAAACCCTCGAAATTTTAAATATAGCTTCTTTCTCACTATAAAGAAAGCGTAGCTTTTTCAGCAACACTAATACATACTTTAAAAAATATTCTTTTTTTTATGAAAAAAATGAATTTAATTTAATCTAGATAATATATGTATATTATGTATAATGTATATTGCCATTACTACTTCACTTAAATTTTTCTCAATTCAATATGCATTTCGGGCATTACAAAGCCTTATCAAAACAATACTAAGCTTCCATAGAATGGATAACACTTCAATACACTTTAATTAAAATTTATTTTCCTATAACTTAAGGAAACTGCACATCCGAAATGCATTGTTCTGACACCCAGAAATAATGCACTATATAAAAAAATAGTCAAACCTTACCTCCACTGCTGCCTCCACCAAAACTATTATCCTTCGTTGACGTTTGCGTTGATGATGTTGTGGCGGTGTTTTGAAGTTCGTCTTTCTCTCTTTCGTATTTATTTTCATCCATACTATTATTATTGCCCTTTGGAATACCATCCGGGCCGTTATCCATGTAACTGAAATTCAACAGCAGCAACGTTTTACGATAAATCAAACCCTGCAGCGATGTCTTAATACGAATTCCCGTCATATTGAGTATATGCGTCGAGGCCTGCGACAGTGCACCCTGCGCCAGTGCCGCCAACAACACAATCCATGCAATTGCCCACCCGTTCGACACTAAATCTAACCAACTTGGATAGTAAATTTTCACTTCAGCGCCATCGTAATAAATGTCATTTGCAATTTGATTGTTGCCATTGTCGCCAGGATTTGGTAGCCAAATCGATCCTGTTGCTCTTGTGGAAATGTGATTGCCGCTACTATTGTTACGTAAGCTGTCATTGTACAAATTTTTTAATCCTCTCAGGGTAATTGATAAATTATTATTGTTGCTGATGATGTGGTTGCTGATGTTGCCGGCTTTATTATTGTTGTTGTAGTTGTAAGCGGAATTGTAATTGCTGAGATTACTGGAATGCATTGTGAGGTTGTTGTTATTTAATTGCGGTAATGTGGGGTAATGTGCATTGTACATTACTTCAATATATTGAACGATTTGTTGTATGGCAAGTGGACCAATTAACGAAAACAAATCACCAAAAAGTTTAAGTATTCCACCCAAGCTAAACATACGCCAACTATATTTTAAGTAACAATACCACAAGGATGGTGGTCGGTCATTATTTTTCTAGAATATATATATCATTTAATTACTTACGATTGAATATTATTATTGCATTCAGTACTTACCACTTTGGCTGTCTTATAAATTAACAAAAATTGATCGTAATGAGCTCTGGCACTATCCTCAAGGCGCATCTCACCTAAATCTTCTAATTCTAGTGGTTCCTTATAGCCAAACCACAGCAACGGATTAAGCCACCAGAATACAGTTTTTGAATAAAATGTTGCTAATGTGTGTTTATAACCAATTTTCTCGTAGTCCTCAAAATAATCAGGTTTGAAGCGCTGGAATTAAAAAAAGAAGCGTCAATAACTATATAATAAACGCTACAAGAAAGTAATACAAACGACTGAATATACTTACAACATAATACAACATTATATAAAATGCCAAATGCTTAATCACATACAAATACTAGATTGGTCAATTAATTCAAGAAACGAGATCGATTCATATATAGTAAAACATAAATTATTACGCGGTTTTTATTTCTGATCTTTTATAACAATATTGCCGATTGTCATTATTATTATTGTATTTATTGTATAATTTTTCTTTATAATGGTTCTGCTATAAAAATGGAACATCGTGTATTTTGTTTAGTTTTCCCTGAAGATGACGAAGATAGTCGAAGATAGTCGAAATATTGGAAGAATTATTTTTAATAAAGTATAAACGATTTTAAATATAAATAATAAATTAGTGTCTTTTTTATTTCTATTTAAATTTGACCAATTAGCCCGATAACAAATTATTATAATATTGCCGATCTAAAAAATTCATTCTTTGTTTACAAACCATTCTTACAAAAACACTGAAACACAATAGAACCACATATCGAAATAGTGAATGTATTATGTAAATCTATACCCAATTCGTTTCTGTTTGAAAGTAATCGTTAAAGTATTGAAAACCATCCAAATGTAGAATGTCCAAAACTGCATTAACGCAAGATATCGTAGAGAATATTGTTCTGGAAAATCGTCGATTAAAGGACATAGATTTAGTATAAGTTCTGTCAATTATTTAAGCATTATGAGTATAAGTTTGACTTTTCAAAAAGTTGTGTGAACAAAACAAAAAAAACCCTTCGAAATGAACTTTATCAGCAACATCTCTTAATTCTCTTAAATCTCTTTTAATTCATTTAAAGTTTGCTAAATCAAATTCTATTATACTAGATAAAGATAAGGTTGAGAAGGCACGAATAATTACAAAATATCAACACTTCAACTTACAGACATTTATTTTCAGTTGAGATGCGCGCAAACGGCTACTTCCTTTATAACTTCATCTGCTTTGATCTAAGGATCAAACAATTTTTCCATTGTTATCTCCGTCTGACTGATGAATTAATCTCCTAGACAATTTTAACTTGTCAAACTCATCTGTATTTCTAGACAAAGACATAAAAACTGATTAATGGATTCCTTCTCTTCTTCGTCATGGTACCTCCTACACAATTATTTTGCTTCAGTAAGCACACAAGCCATAGTTTTGAGGTAACCCATTCGAGAACGAGATTTCTCGTTCTTTTCCTACTTTTTTAAACACTATTGTTCTAGCGCCCTCATATTTTATTCTGTTATACTAAATTATTTGAATTAAACAAACATCAGATGAACATCATTAGATGATCACAGATCCTTTGCATAAATCCTTTGCATTTCTTCAATAGCCATTTTCTCGTGAAGTGTTTACCCTTGTGTTCACCCTTCTCTATGCAGTTAAGTTTAAGCTTAAACTGCTAAATTTATTTAACCCACTACATTTAATTTGCAATGGATATTATTTTCTGCTTTTGATTTTGATCATTTCCAAAGTTTTTACTTGGATTTGATTGCTGATAGTTTGGTTAGTTGAAACCCCTAAGCCAAACTTTTTTCTTTCGCAACACCACGACGCTTGCAGTTTGATTTTGTGGTA